TTGTGACTTGTCGGAAACATGGGACAACCACAGCAACAAGCGGCGCCATCGGGAGGCTCCAGAAAGATCTCGTTCAACGTCTCTGACCAGTACGATATCCAAGATGTTATTGGGGAGGGGGCTTATGGCGTCGTCTGGTACGTGTGTAATATTGGATCTGTGGACGCTGCGACTGACTCGTCAAAGTTCTGCACTGCACAAGCCGTCAGGTCAGAAAGTGGCCATCAAGAAGATCACTCCATTTGATCACTCTATGTTCTGCCTGCGCACGTTACGAGAAATGAAGCTGCTGCGATACTTCAACCACGAGAACATCATCTCGATTCTTGACATTCAAAAGCCACGAAATTATGAGTCTTTCTCCGAAGTCTATCTCATTCAGGTTGGTCTCGGATTAACAGGAGAAGCGAGCAAGAGTATTGACACTCTTTTACAGGAACTCATGGAAACGGACATGCATCGCGTGATTAGAACCCAAGATCTCTCGGACGACCACTGCCAGTATTTCATCTATCAGACTCTGCGCGCTCTCAAGGCCATGCACTCTGCGAACGTCCTTCATCGAGACCTGAAACCATCTAATCTCTTGCTCAATGCTAATTGCGATCTCAAAGTCTGCGACTTCGGCCTCGCGAGATCTGCAGCTTCAACGGACGACAACTCAGGATTCATGACGGAATATGTTGCGACAAGATGGTATCGTGCTCCAGAAATCATGCTCACGTTCAAGGAATACACCAAAGCCATTGATGTATGGAGTGTTGGCTGTATACTTGCAGAGATGTTAAGTGGCAAGCCCTTGTTCCCTGGAAAAGACTGTATGAATCGCTCCTCATGTGACGCTAGCCGTGCTAACTGCGTTCCAGATCATCATCAACTCACCCTAATATTGGATGTCCTTGGTACTCCGACGATGGAGGATTACTACGGCATCAAGTCCCGACGTGCGCGAGAATACATCCGGTCATTGCCCTTCAAGAAGAAGATCCCCTTGAAAGCACTCTTCCCCAAGACTTCGGACCTGGCATTGGATTTGTTGGAGAGGCTGCTAGCGTTCAACCCAGTCAAGCGCATCACGGTTGAAGAAGCCCTCAAGCACCCGTACTTGGAGCCTTATCATGACCCTGACGATGAGCCCACCGCGGATCCTATTCCAGAAGAGTTCTTTGACTTTGATAGGAATAAGGACCAGCTCAGCAAGGAGGAATTGAAGGCGTTGATTTGGAATGAGATCATGCGATAGACTTGTCGAGGCCGAACTTGCTCTGTGCCACCCACTTGCGACAACGAAAGGATCGGCACTGCAGATTCATATTTTTCAGGCTGTGTGAAAGATGACTGTCAGGCGATGAAAGGAAGAGGCCAATAGAGCCAAGGACCGAAGTGAGTATCTAGACATAATGTTATGCTAGGTCCTGGCTTCTCTGGAACGACAGGAAAATATGGCCAGAAAGGTCACAACAATCGTCAACATTGTGCTTGGATGAGAAAGCTGGAACATGAATGGCCCCGTCACGCATTGCATTCGCATGTTTGTTACGTTTGAACGGAGTTGCATGAATTGAAGTGGACGGATAGAGATCAGATCAATGCAGAATCCAGCCCCCTTGCTCCTTTCCACAAAATGTCTCTGTTCTCACATCTCATACCCGACGCTGTCTGTTTGCGTTGAGACAAGGCCTCGCCGTTTAGAGTGTAGAGACTGCTCTGTACAGCTACACACAGTCAGGGGACCTTTTTTTCTCTTTATGATAACTAGTGACAGGGCTCTGCTACAAGTAATAGTGCGGTAGATGACAGTCCTGCAGATGTCAAATACTTGATCAAAGAGTACCTTGTTTGTGGTCGGTATTATCTCGTGGAGGGAACCAATTAAGGGGGTCTCTGGACAGCTAGGGCGCGATAATTGACAACCCGACGCGCCCCCAAACCGAGCCCACAACCCCAAATCTTTTGAAGATATATATTCTCCAATCCCCAAAATACTGCAAAATTTTACCAATTTTCTCTCCCTGAGAAAAACTTGTTAAAAGATTGTCAGTGTGGCCGAGTGGTCTAAGGCGTGTGACTTGAATTTAACCGAAACGTCCAACACTCCTCCAGGGGATAAGCACCCGTGGAGGGCGAACGTTTTCACAAAATTTCAATGGCTATCACATCTCTTCGGAGGCACAGGTTCGAACCCTGTCGCTGACGTTCAGTTCTCTTTTTATTTTTTTTTCTTTCCCCCTCCTCACGGAGGGATGGGGGTTAAAGAGTGGGGGAGGGGGGGGGTTCCTTAAGTACTTGCTTGCTTACTTACGTATATAGGTACCTAGCCTTCCTTTTTGAATGGGGGTATCCAGTAGATTGGTCTTGCGTGGTGTGGGTGTTTCAGGGAAGACGGTCCTGGATACTATGTATGTACATTACATTCATACGGAACACTTGGTACGGGGACTACGAGGCTGGGCTGAGTCCATAACAGCTTACTCTCAAAACCCGTTAAAGATGCGTGCCTTTTATCTCTGGGAATGCGAGGACCTTCAACAACGACTCCATCTGGTCTAATGCGTCATATGGAACAAGATGCATGAAGGAGGTGGGCTCATGTGTGCCCTCAAGACATGTTCCTATCTTTAAACCTTCACTTTCTAACTGTGTATGTACAATCTCCCAGGTGTCGAGAAGGTCCAATGGTCTTCTTCAAGCTCTTCAACTACAAGCCCTCAACCAACCCACGCTGACATCTCCTCACCACCTACTGATCATCAATAACGTGCAGATACTTCTTTGCCTCCTTCTTCTCCCGGGCCGTTGCTGGAGGCAAATCGTAGTAGGAGCTGCTCCGGTAGTCTTGCAGATATAGGTAGGTCAAGTCTCTCAACTCTGCTGGCTCGATTCCCAGATCTTTGAAGGTCTTTGCTCCCTTTTCGACGGTCTGATCCAGTGACTCTTGTTCCAGCTGATCCGCCGTCATGATTGGCCACCAAATGACCTTGTTGAGGTAGTAAAGGATGGGTTTGAGGATAGCTTTGGGCACGTCAATGTGGCGGCGCTCTTTAATAATTTCCCTGTCGACAATTTCGGCGATTTCGCGCATGCTATAATTTGTGGGGCCGTAGAGTTCAAAAGTCTCGCCCGCCGTGGTGTCATCGTAGCCAATCTTTTCCAAAGCCATTCCGACATCGATAGCCTAGCAATACAGAGTCAGAGGCGCGGGAGAATGGGCGGACACAAAGGTAGACTCACATGAACCGGGTTGAAACGTTCCTGCATGTTGTTCACGGTAATCAAGTTGGTAACGCCAGCAAGGCGATGTAGAAGGGTATCTTCAAAGCCGAAGCAGGGTGCTGGTCGAACAATCGTGGTCTCGGGGAAGAGCTGTCTTGCAACTTTCTCTCCCATGGCCTGTGAGACGTGTTAGTTACCACTAGTCTCGCCGTTCTGGCAAAAGTCCTGACCTTTGTCCTGAAGAACTCGGAGGGCGAGTCAATGTCGGCATTGTACGACGAGAGATGAATGAACCGGTCAACGTCGTATTTTGCAACGGCTTCAGCTATTCTTTCCACACCCTCGACGTTGACATCCCACAGACTGAAGTTTTTGGTCGGGTAATTCTTGCCAATCAGGTTGAACACAATATCGGAGTGTCGCACACTCTCTTCGATCGACTGCGTGTTTCTCAGGTCGAATTCCATAAATGAAACTCTCCCCAGATCACCAGTGGGCTTCAAATGTCTCTTTCCCATGTCATCTCTGTAGGGCACGACAACTTGGCACCCCCTCTTTGCTAGTCGCTGGACGATGTATCTCCCGAGGAACCCATTTGCACCGAACACAGTAACTGTATAGCCCCCTAACGAAGATCTTCCTCCAGCTTGTTTTATGATCGGTTTCCCCGTCCTGGTGATGGCGATGTCTTGGTTGTACCCGCGTTGGAAGGATTTCGGTTTCAGTGACGACCGAGCTGCGCGCAGCGCGAGGGTGGTAGGTTGACAGGTGTGCATCTTGCAATGCAGCACCCGACGGAGGCCTTCGCAGGCAATCGTACGTCGGTGTGAGTTGGGGTCCGAGGAGGTGACGAGTTGTGACCTGCGAGGAGCTCAATGCCTGTCGACCTCCAACAGCTCCGCTGCGTCAAGTGTCTGTTCGCTTGGCAGCTCAGGAAGAGATGCAGTGAGGATCCACCACGGAATCACGTGTCAGTCCGCCAAAAATGATGCTCAGCACTATGCCAAGACTGTAATGACCAAAATCTCATCGCTCATTGGCCGACCTGTAAAGCCACACAAGGCCCCTTTAGAGGCAAGGCAGTCTGGATGTCCATGTTTGGACTCGGAAATTATTCCTGTGACGAAGTGATACACCTCATATTAGACATCCAACACCAGGGATACTCTGCAATAGAGCATATTTCGCAAAGTCGAGCGAAAACGACCTAGGTGGGGTCTGTCCAAGAACCATTTCGGGGTCAAGACCCGCTCGCAAACTCGAGTGGAAGTGGCTTAGCGTCGATTGTTGGATACAGACAAGATGTGATCGTCCTCTTTTGCTTGCTGCCTTGAGGTTCTATGGTAATGAATTCTGCTACTCATCCTCCTAGCCCGGTACGTAGCATTCAATTCTCCATTCTCGTTCGCCCATTTCGAATTCCTCTAAAAAACAAAGTTCACGAGGCTGTCTGTCGGCCGTCATGTATCCTTGTCAGGGTTGGGCTCTAGGAGAAGGAAAAGGGCATTCGCGAATACGGCCGATTACTGCTGCCTTCAAGTACCCGGACCTTCTATTTTGAGACCGACTTGCGAGAAACCGTGAATAATACATTTCTTGGGTGATGCTGTTTATCTGTCTATATAAATCATGTCAATGCCACCGAAGAACATGTTTCGTGGCTCAACATCAACACACGAGCTGAGGGACAAAGATTCCCTCCAAGCATCATTCGTCCTGGCGCACTATATCCTGCCTCCCTTTTTCCCTCGCCCATCACAGCTTGTTGATCGGGATCCCCATTCAAAATGTCAATGCCTCATGATGTGCACAAATCCTCAGGGCACAGTCGTGGTGCCAAACCAGGTCAACTCTGGCTCAAGCTTGGGCGGCGCATATACCACCCACTCGGTTTCAAGAAGGGCTATAATTTTATACTCTTCGTCATACTCGTCGGGGCTCTCATGGGGTTCGTACTCGCTCGGTTCCAATACTTGAATATTGATGGCATCTTTTTGAAGGTATGCTCCTGCCTGGACCGAAGGAGGATCCCACGGGCAGCTGATACTAACAGTGGGTGGTACGCAGAATACAATCCCAGGAGACGCTATTCACTATCAGTCGGGATACAAGCGCATTGGGATTATCCTTCATCTGGGCTGCATCCTTCCAGCAGGCTTCTTAGTCTGTTTCCAGTTCGTACCAGCGATCAGGCACAAATTGCTGCTCTTCCACAGACTGAATGGCTACACCATTATTCTCTTGTTGCTGACCGGCAACGCGGGCGCATTCATAGTCACTCCCATCGCTGGAGGAGGATCACCGTCCACTCAAGCCGGCATTGGCCTTCTGGGAACAATGACCACGGTCTCAGTGATGCTGGCATACGTCAATATCAAACGTCTGCAGATCGACCAACACCGTGCATGGATGATCCGTACCTGGGTGTATGCGGGTAGCATCATCTCGGTGCGTCTGGTTCAGATGGCCGCCAACACGTTCATCGCGCAGCATCAACAGGGCCATTGGTATGATGTACAGACCTGTGGGGACATATGGAAGCAATATACCCTGTATGGAGCCCCTGCTGGAGCGGGAAACCCAACACCATACCTATACCCCGAGTGCACGGCGCCGAACTCGAGCGTACCAGTGGTCATCAAGGCAAATGTGGACGGTGCAGGCCCCGAGTTTGCTACAGCTTCGTTCCACCTGACGTTTGGCATGTCTGTGTGGATATGTCTAGCTACCCATGCCATCGGTGTCGAGACATATCTGAAGCTGACACCCGCAGAGAGTGAGAGGTTAAGGCTTGTCAGTCACGAGAGGCAGGTCGAGGCTGGATTCAAGCATCCCGGTCGTGCAGGTTTGACCGTCGACAGGTTTGGTGATGTTGTGTCACGGGATTCCACCGTTCAAGCTAAAGGCAGCCAGAGCTCGAACGAGTGAGAGGAAGATGTTGCGCAAGTGGGTGAGTGAAAAGGCCAGAGTTGTTAGGGGTCTGAGCTTCGCGAATCGGCTTTATTGCCCATGCTGAGAAGTCTCGACAATGCACGAGACTGGTAGTTTTTGAAGGAGATTTGTGAGGACAGAGAAGTGTTTGCAGTGAGTGGTGCGTGTATTGACGAGGACAGCTGTGTTGGACGCAGGGGTCAGAGGTGCATGGCGAACACGTTCATTCCATCGTTTTCACACCAACGTTCCTATATAGTTTCTCTAGCTCTCAATCGAAACATCGTATCTCAGTCGGCCACGACATGCCTCACGTTGAAAAGTCCGCTCAACCTCATCGTACAGGAGCCAGTCATTGTATAGGGAAGGATGCCGAGGACATGACAAAGTGATGGGATCCGACCAACTCGTATTCGGAATTGAACCCATGAAATCAGGCCTCCGGGATTTTGAACTTGGCGAGTTCATGCGCCCAGAACTACCGAGTGATTATCCTGACATTCTGACTGGACTGGGACTGGAATCAGCCTCGTGCTAGATCCCAAGCACGGAGTTTCTTTACCGACAAGTTCCTTGGCCTCGTCTACCTCAGTCTGCCGGTGCTCGCCAACGACCACCATGCCATGCCTTGTGACGAGAGCCTCACATGGCCAGCCTCGGACCCTTTTGGTTCCAGAAACCCTGTATAGACGACTCCAAGGTGAAGACATTACTCCTGAAGCCGCCGAGTATCTCCCTTGAAGATGGTCTACGCAGGCCCATCTCGTGGCTGCAGCACCTGCAAACGACGCCGCGTCAAATGTGACCTGGGTCGGCCTCTTTGCAAAAACTGCTTGAAGAGGAGGGTGCCCTGTCCCGGTGTACCAGATCCACCTGGCATACAGTTTCGAGACGAAACCGCGGCGGTGATACAGCTATTCCAGGCAGCCAACGACAGAGAACATGCCGCTGATGGCGATGACGACTATGAATACCCCAATGCCGTTGTCCCCAGTCTCGGGGAGGACGAGAACTTTGTCTCGTTGTGCTTCTTCTCCCACAACTACATGATGGGTGGGCACGGCGTGCAGTCTTCGCGGGGGTTGTTCGAGCATTTGATACCGTATTATCAGCCGACAGATCTGGATTCTCTGATATCGGTCGCCACTGCCGCTCTTACCGCCACCATGCTCTCCATGTGGCGTGGCCTTGGACCGGATTCGACGCTGTCAAGAAGGTACTATGGCCGCGCTATCGACCTCCTGAAGGAAACCCTGAAGACTCCAGAAGGATGCGAGTCCGATACGACGTTGATCGCCATCATTGCGCTGCAGTTCCGGGAAGCGCTGATTGCGCATCGCAAGATGGTCAAAGTCGACGGGAGCCACCAAAGAGGCGCATATGCCGTGGTCAATTACAGAAAGAGCAGAGGCTTCCGCGACATGGCCTCCAAGCGGCTGTTGCAAGAGGTGCGCAACACTATGGTGTCAGAAGCAATTCGGACTCGCCAACCAGTGCATATCGACCCGGCTGTGTGGGAAGACGACGGCCCCATGCCCTACAACCCGGCAAGTGATCTCGACAAGATCGCGATTGACCTCGCGAACCTCCAGGCTCTGTTTGAGCAATACAAAGCCACGTTGCAGGCCGCATTGGCGAAGGGGCAGAAGGTGCTGACTGCAAAGGACCTTAGCATCATCGCGTCATTCAGGAGGACGGCGGATGCCATTGACCAGCGACTACAGATCTGGGCCGACAGCCAACACTCGTTCTACTCACCCTTCCGGTTGGCAGCTGATGAGATCCCGGACTCCGTGCGAGAGGCAGGCCTGTACGGCGACTTCTGCAACGTCTATCCGTCCGTCCAGCTCGCGGGCGTCTGGCACGCATACAACAGCTACCGGCTGATCCTCCTGAAGATGACGCTCTGCGCGGACGAAACGGTCCATAACATGCCGAGGGAGAACGACGTGCTGCTGTCGGAATCCGACAGATGGAGGGCCTCCGCCCAGGAGCGGCTTCAGCACTGCGTCGACGAGATCTGCGCCGCCGTCCCGTTCCATCTCGGGAACCGCATCAACGCCGGTTCCATCCACGAGTTTTCGAACACCACCCGCATGGAGTATCCCTGGCCGACGCCGGACAAAGACCCCTACTCGGTTCCGTCTAGCCCAGCCCTGAGGGAATATGCGCGAGACCACAACGTCGTGCCCCTGACGGCCGACGAGCGGAAGCGCCAGAACCTCTGCATGGGGGGCTACAACATCCTCGGACCCATGGCTTTTGTCCTGAGCCTCGCTGGGGAGCCGCTTGACTTGACCGGTGTGCAAAGAGATCCGCGCAAGATTGGATCGTTGCTTCGCCCAGATCAGATCCCGTGGCTTGCTGGGCAGATGGGTCGGGCCTTGAGACTTCATCGCGCGAGACCACCACCACCACAAAAACAAGTAGGTCGGGGCGATGATCGACGTGAAAATAGCAGCAGCATCAGCAGCAGCAGGAGCAGCAAGAGTAGCACCCCTCTGTCGATTGAAAGGAAGCCTGCCGCTGTAGAGGAGAAGGATCAGCTCGGCGATGTGGTGAGGGATGTCGTCCGGGTGCGAAAATCCATGAAGTATTCCTTTGGTGTTTGATCCGCAGTATGCAGCACTTATAGTAGTACTTAATGACATAGGGTATGGTATGCACACAGTACCAGTATGTGCTCACCGTCTGCCTTGTTTACTGCGCTGGAGGATGTCCATTTCATACGATGTCCTAATAGCAAGTAGTACGTACTACTTAATAGGACCGAACCACTAGGACTATAACATTGTCCCCTCGTCACTTTCCTTTTGAACCTATTGTTCCCGAGGACGTCTCCACCAGCCCAACTACATCGACCACCTGTCCAGCCCTCGTCTCCTCGTCGCCACATCCTTCACCACCACTACCACCACCATCCCCTCCTCTCGGTCTCCCACTACTACTTGTACTACTAGTAGTAGCTTGTCGCCTACAAACCGTCCGCACACCCCACAGGCAGCAGCTCGCGCAGATGTAGCTGACCCCACAGAATATCTGGGTGTAGAGGTACGGACGTGGGTGGTCTGGGCGGCGGAGGTAGAGGGCGATGACTTCGGAGACTTTTTTCGGACAGGAAGAGGAGAAAAGGAGGAGATGGTCAGCACGACTGCAGGCAGGGGATCGATAGACAGCAAGCAGACAGACAGATAGAGTAGGTCCAGATCGGGGAGAAAAAAAAAACTGAGAAGATGGAACACATACAAGTAGTTGGCAGGACGGTGGAAAGCCATGAGAGCGAGAGCAGCGAGGGGAGCTGTTTCAGACCAGCAACTTCGACGCAGAGGGGACCGATCGTCTAGAGAGTACTCCTAGTGGTAGCAGCGAGACAAATAAGTGATCACACATTAGTTTGGAACGTACCATCCAGAAAACCCCCAGGATCGCACCGCTCAGGATCCCAAAAAACACCGTGACCCCGAACGACGTGGCAGGGATCCAGATCACCAGGCAGGCGAGGCCGCACACGAGGGTGAGGCTCGTGGCGACCCCGAACCGGCCAAACCGGTCACTCGCGACACCAATGCAGGGTCGTCCCAAGGCGGTCCCCATGTTGAGAAACGCAGTGACCTGCGTCGCTTGCTGGCGGGACAGGCCGATAGAGAGCGAAAAGTCCGAGAGCGAGTAAAGCAGGGCGATGTAGCCCAGCATGCTGAGGAAGGCCCAGGAGAGGAGCAACAACACGTCGATGCGCGAGACCAGGTCCAGGTCGAACGGGTGCTGTTTGGGGCGAATGACGCTGTTGCGGTCGCGGATGAAGACCGCTGCGACCAGGTTGGCCAGCAGCGCGATGACGCCGGTGATTCTCAGCGCCCATCCGATTCCCAGGTGTTCAATCATGGCGCCGATGGCGAAAGAGAACATCAGACCTCCAATGCCAGACCCGGCCGCACTGATCCCGTTCGCAAGACTCCGCCGTCTGGCAAACCATTGGGAGAGGACTGCGATGCTGGGCACATAGACGAAGCCGACACCCAGGCCGACCAGAGCGCCTTGAGAGAGGTAGAGATGCCAGATCTGTGTTGCGAAAGACGCCGCAATAAAACCCCCTCCGAACATGACCGCGCCCGCCAGCATGGGGAGTTTGATGCCGAATGAGCGAGCGAGGCGTGTGATCAAGGGAGCTGCAAGCATGGCAATGCCGAAGTTGAAGCTGCCGATGAAGGCATAGTCGAGAGGGCGAGACTCGGGAAAGGCGTCGACGGTCAGATAATACGACAGAAAGACGCCATAAGACTGTTCGGTTCCATGTTAGCCACTGTAGATTCGCCCAGACTACGACGATGGTTACTTGGTATTTAGGGGAGAGAAGGTGACGACTTACCGCCACAGCGCCCCAGGTGAAACAATTGATTGAAAAACAGCAAGCCAGACAAACCCAGCCATAGCCGCCGTCCGGGGGAGGTGCCAGTTCAACAGTAGCATAGTCTCTTGTTTGAGGGGTGGTGACAGTCTCAGACTCTGGTGGCTTGGACATTCAGGAAGTAGGATCAGGAAAGCGGGATTACAATATAAATCTGCACTGAACAAGTACGAGAGACTAGGGGATGAGTTTGCAAGAGGCTCAAATTCCCACTTCCACACGTCCGTGCTAATCACTATTGTAAGTCGGGAGTGAGCGTCCTTAAAAGGTAATACTTTATATCCTCCCCATTTTGGACTCCAGTACGGACATCGTCGCTTCTGCCCCACGCTTTGAACATCCCAAATGGAATGAGCCTATCACATCTGCACGGTGACACACTCAAAGAAACACCAGTAACTAGCAAAATTTAACATCATTAGATTCCGAGGAGTAAGAGAATACGACGTACTACTTTGAGTGAATACTAAGTACTAAATTCCCCGCCCCTAGTTGTTTGATGCTGTATAAATACTAGTATGCTCTCAGAATACAGCTCTAGTGCGTCGATGTGTATCAGACGCAGTACGAAAGCAGTATCAAACAACTAGAG